TGAATGGTTAGGCCCCAAGTTGTGTGCTGTCCATAGCGTTCACACATATGACGGATTCACTTTTTACACCGCTAGAGGGAGTTGTCATTTTCTTAGTGTTAATGCATTGTTCAGATGGTGAAGATCACATTTAATTCATGTTTACATATTCATAAAACTGTATATCAAAAATGTGTGTTTTCATTCATAACATGGTTTCGTCTTGCGTAGAATCATACAGTTTGTTCAAATGTGAAAATAGCGTAAACAGTTTCCATCTACTACTATTATGTCAATTGATCTCGTTGGAATCGCATGTTGACAGTCGTCGTTCTGATAAGAAATGGCTATTTTGATGCTCTTCACTTGTAGTGATTTATGTCTTTCCGTTGAAAAATGCTTACGTTGTTCTGAGGGAAAGTGGCCGGTGGTGATAATTTCAACAACAACAAAATAATCGGTCTAATGGTGTTGAAGCTATATCAAATTGAATGTGTAAGAAAAAATAGAGATGTATTTGTCTAAAACAATTTTCCCATGGTCTTTTAGCTGCAATAGATGAGAGAACTGCGCGTGCGTCCAACCTTATTTCGTAAAAATTGCATTTTGTTATTTTTAATTGGGAAGCAGATCATGAAAAAAATGTTATCAGACCCCCTGGCATACAAGTTTTGATTTTTACCAACCCGACAAAAAAAGTTACTAGTCTCAATAGCGTATTGTGAATGTCTGTATATGATATCACGGAGTTAAACATAGATTTCTCATCCAAGATGATATACATCAATTCATTATTAAAGGGTGCCACCGCGCGCTCATTCTAGTTAAAAATGAATGTGTCTATATTTTCCTTAGGCACAAATAAATTTATGCTTAAACATTCTGTACATGTTGATTAAACAGAATGTGAACTGCATTCTAGGGTAATTTTTAGTTAATAGTATAGCATTTGGTCTATTTTTTAAACATGTTTTCATTATACTACACACGGTATTTACTATTCATTATTTGTGTTACTATTTAATAACAAACAGTGAATTCACAATATTATATTGCCAGAATTCATGTATATATGACGTGAATTCTGGTTTACCCACTACTGGGTCAGTTATAGATGGTGTCAGTATGAGGCGATACTTTATTTACTGCGTAGGAGCCGACCTTACGAAATTGAGTTGTACTTTTGATTTCTGATTGATTTTAAATGTTACAGACACGGTGTATAAATAAGGAGTGTTGTCTTTAGTCAGTACTGAAGTCACAACACGCCAGTAGTAAACACGTTGGGCAGTCCACACAGAGAACACTTTATTTATTCGAGACGTATGGTTGATGAATTGCATTGTAAATAAATAGGTTTTTTTCAGTAATCACAACAGATATCTTGCGAGCAATAGTTATATTTTTCATTGTAACCACTATTACATTACAGTTTGTTTGTTTTTTTACTTAATACCGAAATAAAAACGTCGGCGCAAAATTATTGACGTCTGCAATTTCACTGGACAGAACCAAGTATAGAACAGCGAGAAGTGCTGTCTGAACACAGGAAACATTGAAATAAACTGTAGAAATCTCATAATGATGCCTGTTTTATTTCACATATGGCACGGTAGGATTTTAATAACGGCAATAACCATTGCTTGATAATTATTATACAGAATAAACTCGAGCAGTTCTTGTAAGTAAGCTCGGGCCAACTTCGATCGGAGAATTTTGACTCGGTCACCTTGGTATGCTGACAACTCAATCACAGCCGAAGCGTCGGAGCTGCCACGGTGATGTTCGTTTAAACAAACAATGTATCTAAATGTACATATGTTGTGTACGTCGCTATGAGCCCTTTAAATATTTCAATATTATGAATAAGAGCGCAGATGCCGGTTGTTTTCGAAATAATTCAGAATAACAATAAGTGCACATCATTAATAATACATTATTGTTCAGCCTATATGTCACAAAACTACAATTTATAAAATATGGCATATTATCTTTTCCATATGAACCTATAGTAAAAGTGTTATATCACTGTCAAAGTGACAACTATTCACTGAAATATAACCATCACTCTCCCGAAAATTAGGCTGGTGATTCCCAGCTTTTGGGAGTCAATATCCTAATATTGCCCAAGAGTACAGTGTATTGCAAAATGAATACATTCTGGGTGTTTGCATTTGGGAGTAGGCCTTAACAACTTCGTAGGCTGAACGTCAAAATAACTAGCTCAGTGTTATTTCATGTAATTGTTTTCCGATTTTCGCTGTTATACTTCATTGTAGTTTAGCGGCAAACATGAACAATTAAAATAAACACTACTGATTAATTATTTGGATTTTCACCCCTCAAAGGGACTGTGATTAAAAATCTACAACTTGACGTGCGCCCTCGGGTGGTCAATATCGGTATGATGTTCAAAATGGCGACTAGCAACGCATCAACAAAGACCTCATATTTTTCAAAGTGATCGGGTGTCTTTCCCCTTCGATTAATCTCATTGCTGCTTCATGTACAACATAATAACGCATATTTATGGATTATATATACAAGATCAAGTCTAGCAGCTTCCTACATGCCAGAGTTAATGGTCGTCTTTTCTCGAATAATATTATAATACACGTTAGTCCGTACGTTGCACTTAAACTTGAAATTGTTATTATCCCAGTTGGTAATATTATGAGTGACACGTAAACAATTCAGTGAT